AGCTGATGAGAGGGAGGCAAGGGCTGCCCGGGCCAGGGAAGCCGCGTTCTCCTCCAGCCACTGCCAGCGCTGGATAAAAATAGCCCTGAGTCCTCGCCCGGCTACACAAGGGCAGGAAAAAACCCGGTGTCTGATGTCAAAATCCAAGCCCAGTGGCGTAGTTACAGCCAGGAGGAAGGGGTTTTCTTTCTCCCAGGGTTTTCCCCGTGGAAGTTATCCGGATGAAATCCCAGCTGTCGGAGGAGCTGCCACGGCCGGGGCGGTGAACCCAGCAGAACCGGAGCGGTCCTGAGCCTTTGCAGTCAAAGCAACAATCGGCCACAAGATGAACTTTACACTCTTTACACACACAAAAAAAAAAAAACCACCAGAAAGGACCCTAGGGAACTATTTCTTGGCTAAACCAGCTTTTTCAGGTGCAAAAAAAAAAACTTTGAAGAATTCACCAATCAGAGCTCAAAAAAACATCCAGCCTAAACCTGCCACCCATCCCATGGGACTGAAGAGCCCAGGCACCACCACACCGCCTGGTCCCCACTCAGGGGTGGCCAAGGACCCCAACCCTGGCTACCGGGGGGGTCGCAGCCCTGCCTGGAGGTTCAAGCTTCCAGCCACAGCTGCTGCTCCCAACCCTACTCATCTCATCGCGGGGTGCAACATTTGCTCCAGATCAGCTGGGGGTGGGCAGCGATCACACACTCAGGGGAGGCATTTCTATAGGGAATCCTCAGGAAGGTGGAATTTATCCCACCATTTCTCAGTGATCCTCAAAACGTGGCCTGCCAGCAACGAAAGCACTGATTTTTGGTGTGACATGACTATGCTGCGTGTTAGATGAATAATTTTAATAGCCCTACAAAGTTTACATGTTTAAATTATATATCCAAGTCATGCTGACATAATTTCACCCAAAATGCATATTCTAGTTAGATTAAGCTCTAACAACAGACAAATTATGCATCACAGCATTATTCTGCTCTGAAGTTTCAGGAAAAAAACAGTAATAATAAACAGGAGGGTTTAGTTCCATTCTTGTCCCAGGACGCTGCTTCCTAATTCCCAAATGAAACAAAGTCGTTCTCTGGATATTTCATTATTTTTAGTTCCCCTTCACCACTGACTCATTGTGTCCTTTCCTGTTGTTGCTAAATTAACTTCCTCTCCCGGCCATGGGGATGGATCCTGACACAATAAATATGAAAGAAAAAAAAAATCCCATAGCCTGAGAGGAAGGATGTGGCCAAGAGCCCTGGGCTGGGGGCTGCGCCTGCAATCTGCCACACACTCCCCCCCCCCAGTTCGGGACAAGTCACTGCATCACCCTGCTCTTGACCATCAGAGGGGGATTTGCGGGACAAGTGGATAGTTGATAATTCTCTGTATTAGCAACCTGGGCTAGTGGGAGGTGTCCCTGTCCATGGCACGGGGGTGGAACTCGATGATCTTTAAGGTCCCTTCCAACACAAACCATTCCACGATTCTATGATTCTATGAAAGCTCAGAACGGACGTATCTGGAGCAGGTCAGCCAGGGTGTCCCCGTGACGTGAGCACACGGCCATGGAGCTGTCACTGCGGGGAACGCACCGGCTGGGGCCAGCAGTGCTCGAGTTCTTCTTGAGCGAAGTGAGGAAATAGGGCACATGCAGTTTTACGTGCTTTAACACAGTCTGAGTGCTTACAGAGGAGCAAGTAGCTAAATTTAACTCTACTGTGCATATATAATACTTGCCGGAGGCAATGAAAAGCCCCTTCATGTTGTTGGGGGATACTCCGTTGGGGGAGAAAACCATTCCCCCTTTCTGGTGGGGATCCGCTCCCACACACTTCGTTACCTAAGCCCAAATTCCCATCAAAGTTCAAAGCAAGCACTCCGAGCACCCTCCCTGCCAAACCGGAGCTCACGGCCATGGGTCTCTGGGACCGGGGTACCAAGGGGACTTCCAGATCCACAGAAATCACAAGTTGCCAGAACTGCTCTGGGACCGGGGTACCAAGGGATCCACAGAAATCACAAGTTGCCAGAACTACTGCACAAAACACTTATAGGGCGGAAAAACAATCTCTTCAAAGAGTCCCTTCCCAGCACAGCATCCTTCCACCGCCGACCAGCCAGTACCAGGACCTCCAAGTCCCTCCAGATTTCGGGATAAGCTAGACCACATCCTCCCTCTGAAGATGCTCCCTCGAGCTTGAGCACACCAAGTGCTTTCCACCTGCTTTGCACAGCTTTTTTTTTGAATTATTATTTCTGTCTAAACAAGGTGGCCTTCAGCCTCAGCTCCTTACAACCCAGGCTTTATTGGATTTCATTGGAACTGGTTTGGGATGCAGGGCCAGTGTGTGTGGCCGCACAACCTGAGGTTCTTCTGCTGTAGCATCTCTCCAGCAGGGCAGCCGTGGGCAAGAGGCCAGGCCAGCAGCTCTCCGGCTCTGCCGGTGTTCCACGGTGTGTTTCGTGGCATTTGAGGTTTTCCCCAAGGCCTGTCTCCTGGGGTTATATTCTGCCATGACAAACTGTATTCACTTTAATGAAAAAGATGATGACAGCCTGACATCTCTACATGCCACAAAAGCCTACAAACCCTACAGAGATCAAACAAAAGAAGGCTAATAAAATATATATTTTTTTTTTAAATGAGCACTTCGTATTTGAAGCTTGTGAATTTTATGGACTATTTCCATGGTTCAGTGCTTGGGGAGACCCTGGGAGCAGCAGGTTGCCTGGTCCATCCCCGGCACAGCCAGCCTGACCTCAGCCACACCAGCACCTCCTGGCTTGGGGGTCTTTCTAACAGACCCACCCCCCCCCAGAAACACGCCCAAACCTGGCATCACCAGAGAGCCTGATGTGCGCAGGCAGACCAGGTCCCAGGAGAACGTAAGTCATCGAGGATGCACCACATGCCCCGACCCACCTACAAAATTATTTCTAAGCAAGCAAAATCTAATTTTTCACATCAGATTCTTTTTTTTTTTTCCCTTTTTAATTTTCTTTGCATGTGTTAAGCCCAGTAACATCTCCAGAGCGACCCTCCTGCCAGCAGATAGCTCAGACCGAGACCAATGCCAGCGCACGGAGCCAAAACTGGTTCCCAGGGGCAACTGCCTGTTTGGAGGCACCGGGTGGTTTCTCCACTTTTAAGGATGCATTAGAAATCAACCCAAGGAGACAATGTAAATCTCCACATATTACCCACTCACACGGCAACAGCAAAGAAACACGGACAAAGCCGGCAACAGCCCCAGGAGTTCTGTTTTGCTCCACGCAAAGGTGGATCTGTCGGGCAATGCTGAAAATCTGCATTTACAAAGTAAACAGAAACACTGGCTAAGGCTGCAGGCCAGCAAAGCGCTGCTAATGCAGACACTAGAATAAAATATTTATTTCTGTCTATTTCTAGATTTGCACGCTGGCTTCTATGCAAATAAATGCTACCCAACGTGCAAGAGCTGATGTTTTTCTTGTCAAACTGTAGGAGAAAAATGGAGCCTTAAACAAAATGTCTGGAACAGGAAAATAAATCAGTATAAAATAGGAGAAGAAAAATAACCAAGAGAAAAATCCATGGCATGAAGGGCAGCAGCCTGCATGACTCCAGGATGCGGCCACAGGAAAGATATCAGATGCTGGGGCTGCCTGTCCATGCAATACCTGGCCTAAATTTAAACCTGACTTAGCCCAAAACCCCAGGAGGACCTACAGCCACCTGCGTTTCAGAGAGCAGCGGCACCAGCTCATTTACAGTGCAAAACAGGACTTTGGAGGCAAGGCACGGCATCTGACAGAAACACCCTCCTCTTCCTCAGCACCCCCCCCGCCCCCGCTGCGGAGCTGATGTCGTAGCCGTGACACTGTCATGTCAGAGCTTTTCTGCTGAATTTCTCCAAAACAAACGCATTTTCAAGTTTTCCCCCTGCATTGGCTTGTTCCCCTATTTGGTTTATTTTTAGTTTATTTAGTAGCTCTAGAAAAAGCGGGGTAAGGACAGCAGTTACACACTGCCACCCTCCTCCCCCTGGGGAGCTCTGGGCAGCCACCAAAATCCGATCATTGCTGGCTCCTGGTCTGATCCAAACCCTGGGATTGCCAGCCACAAAAGGATTAAAACTTGGCCTTTAGGTTAATGGGTTTGGGAGGGGGCTGGGGTTGTTCCTAATCTTTGCAGTGTGGTAAGAACGTTCTGAACCAGATTTAATTTGACAGAGCATTTCTGCCGACTTCTTTCAGTGATTTGCGTGCTTTTTTCTGGCTGTTTTCACTTGAATATTTATGGGTTTGGAGGAGAGGAACCAATTCATAAACAAGCAAGTAGATGAAAGCAGATAAAAGGCGGCAGCGCTGCCGTCGCAGCAGCCCAGCGCATTAACATGCAGGGATGCTGGCCAGGCCTGCGCCGCAGCAGCAGCATCATCGCTCCGTATCGCTTGCCATCCATCTCCCACCACCACCAGGACCAGCTTCCACCCGGGAAACAATGCACAACCTTTAACCCTTGCGTTCCTACGAGTATGCTGGGAAAACATCCGCTGCGCAGAAACAATGGCACCATTTATTAAGGCACTGGAGAGCAACAGGCTCCGAGCTGTGGAAAAATCAGATCCCTTGAAACAGAGGTTGAAAAAAAACAGGAATTTTTTTTTTTTTTTTTTGCAAAGGAGCTAAAAATGGAAATTCATGTCCAGAAGCATTGGGTAGATTGAAAACATTCAGTGAAAAATCTTTTCAACTCTTC